ACGAAATTGGCATTAAACTTATGATATATTCACAATGCCAAAGTCTTGTTTTAAGGATATTTAGATGTTTCTACAGGAGTGAAACCTGTTTGAAAACAGTCATGTATATTTGGTGCCACTAGTGGACAGACCTTTATGTTCAATAGATATTTTTACTAAGGGCACTGTGAGATACGTCTTAAACACCTTTGTTTCCTCTTTGAGCGTATGGGAAGATTTTTGGGACTTGCAGTGAGGTTCAAAACCAGTGCATGGACTGAAATTAGAGGCTTCATGTGCTCGCTTAATGTGGATCTCCTCGCTGCAGTATGCTTCCTGTCCTGAGGTTTATATGGTTTATTTTTCTCAGCATGACCCCCACAGTTACCCCAACCCCTGTGTGTGTGGCAGAGTCGGGGCCAAGGGAGCCCAGGCACCACACATTCGCGCTCAGCTCTCCTTCCCCTCTCTTCTCACTGGAACTGAGACCTCAGAAACACATGTCTCTGATCAAGTGCAGCCTGCGTCATTGGTTAGTAAACACGCAGCTCCAAGAAAACCAACAGAGAGCACATTCATCTTTAGCAACCCTGTGACTTAGTGAGTGTGTGATTCATTATTCTGTAATAAGGTCTCTCTGCTTCTCCAGCGGCCCTCTGGAAAACTCCGAAGCTCTTGGCGAGAGAGATGTGAGCCTTTGTTTGCATTTTGTTTAGATGCTATTGTTCATGGGAGACCTTGGAGAAGTTGATGCAGAAGTGTCTCTGTCTGTAATTAGGCTTGTACTGTTTGTACTGGGGCACATCTGATGGACAGACATGATGATGAGGGTTATGTGAGGTGAATTTCGTGATAAAGATGTGTGATTCTCTCATGTGACAAGTCCTCCCCAAAAGACTCTCCCATGCCATTGATCCAGAAGCATGTTCTGAACATCTACCTGTCAACCTGAAATAAAGGAGCTACATCTAAAACATTTACACTTGATTGCACAGATTGTGTCCAGAACCTGAAAAATGCAGTATATGGAAGTAGGAAGTCATCCAGGCACATCTGAATCCATTATTTGTAGATCTGTTCATTTAAATGCCTCCATCTGGTCAATTCTGAAGGTAGCACAGATGTGTCCTTCCAAGCTTATGAATTCTGCTTTTGAAGCTCGGCAGTCGGTTGAAAGAATAAAACAGGTGGAGCTTTTGAAAAGTTTGTTAATTTATGAATTTATAAATACTGAAAAATTGTAAATAAAATGTGCACTTTTTGAAGTGATGTTATAGATGTTAATTATAACAAAACAAACTTTTTCAAGTAAAATATACACCACTTTTGTGAAAAAAATAATATACACTTTTTTTAATTTCTGTAGTATTTTATAAAATATAAAATATACACTATTTTGTAGTTATTTTGTATTTATTTTTCAGAAAAGTATAATAAAATGTAGTTTTATTTTTGTAGTTATATTTCTGAAAATTACAATAAAATGTACACTTTATTTTTGTAGTAATTTTTCAAAAATATATATATAATATACACTATTTTTGTAGTGTTCTTTTAGGAAATTATTAGAATTTTTTTAACTTATTTTTTCTAAAAATTGTAATAAAGTATACTTTAATTTTGTAATCATTTTTCAGAGTCGTGCTATGTACCACGTCACGGTCCTCATACCACTGGTGGTACCACCATTTCAGAATCACTGTTCTAGGTCATCAGATGTAACGTTACGATGCCTTGGAAGGCAGTCCGTAACCGGTTTCCATCATACTTAAACAATGTCTCTTAATTCATTGACTGACTGGGCAACGAGCGCGTTTGGTTTCAGACACAGGATACATTACAGTGGTCTGGTGTACTAACAGCAGAGATGCTTGTAATGAACTTTAGAATACCTGTGGTGAGTAATGCGTGACTTTTTGCATTCAGCCAGTTTGACACAGACAGTATGGCGGCGTTGGAGCATTCCCTCAGGCGCTAGTTTGTCGTGGGTGCAGAACCGCTCGTGTTTATAAGAGGCTGACAGCTTCTTCCTGTATCCCAGGCCCTGAGCCCCAAGTCCTGGCCAAGGCCCTAGCAGCACTCTCCCCCTGACTGAGTGGGAGAGCAGGCGTGGGAGGGAATCTTGAGTGGGGGGATGGGGCACTGCTGCAGCCGTACTGCAGTCACTGAACACTTGAGCCCACTTGTTCTCTCCCTGAAAAGTCAGGCCAATGTAAACTCCCATTTCCTGCCTGGGACTTTGGGTGTCTCTGAGGGAGAGAGATGATCCTCATGTGAAGTAAGGCAAAGACACATCATACTTGTGCTCAAATTTAGCCATCCAAAGTTGAGAGAGAGCGAAAGAAAGGGAGTATAAGAGACACACATGAGCCCTGAGAAAAGGGCTGGAATGTTAAACACATGCTTTATGGCAGCAGCAGCAGCCACTTTTGGTAAATTACAGTGAACATTCTGGCACTTGGGAATGCGCAGTGGGGAAGGAGTTCTCCGATTTCAGAGCCAGACGTCTCATTATCCCTCAGGAACGACTATATGAGAGTGCATATTTAGTTTTCATTTCTTAGCACAGAATATGCACTAAAAATTGCTGCGGGTTGAATTACAGCAAACTCTCTGGCGGTGCATTGCTCTCTGGCGTGTTGGCTCACCATAAACTTTCCAGGATTGGAAATGTGCTTTTTTGCATGAATAAGGTTTGATGAATGAGATATTCTAGCATGTGGACTTTTTACCTGCTGACAGAGCAGATTTGAGCTTTATCAGGAACTTCTTCTTCAAAGATTCTCACAGCAACTCTGATAACATCATCTCATTAGGCTGCCTCTCCCTCCCCTCTGGGCTTGTTACAAATCTACCACATGTAACTGTTCTGCTTTCATTTTATACAGATGTTTTCCTGTCAGTTTTACAGAGCATTTAGAGGATTGCGTCCTTCCACTGTTGCACTGCACCTCAAGACAAATTGACCCCAATTGCATCACTAAAATGTAAAGCTTTCTTAAACATTTCT